TATATGAGGAGAATATACTTTGCAATGATAACATATACAGTAGCCCAACGGCCTCCACTCAATAAAATATTGTATATATACTTTTGGAATGCTATAAATGTTTTTAGTATTATTACCCTAAATTAGCAAGAATGTCGAGAAAAAAATTTGACACTATGGGTCCACTTTTGTCTCATATACTTTTAATGACCTTTAATTATGAATTTTTAATAAACTATCTTGACTTTAAAAAGTCGATACAACGTCAATGTGAAGTTTAAATGAAGAAGCCAATTAAATTGATCACTAAAAGTGGGTAGCTTAACTCATGTTTACCTGCGAATAGATTGAAAATTACATTGGCAGGGTAACCGGGTGTCACAAGATGAAATTTGAATTTCATTCCAATATTACGTAAATATTTTTTTTTGTCAAAAATAAATAAATAAATGAAACTTAAACTTGGACCTCTCGAGAGGACACTCACATGGACCAGGAGTCAAGAGAACAAAAGGAGCAAATAATCAATTTCAGAAGGTCACGAATATGTGCGAGAAAAAAGATAGATAATTCAAGATATATGTGATGGCATGTATATTTAAATTTTTTTTTTTGACAAAGTTCAGAATTTCTTAATTATAAAAGAGATTACAGAATAGCGAGGATATTGTTAGAAGGCAGTGGCCTGTCAAGACCTACGCCTCTTTTAGCCAGAGTGTCAGCCAATTCATTTGTCTCTCTATACATATGAGCCAAAAATAGGGTTAAGGAAGACATGAACTCAAATATTTGTATCCGATCAAGAGTCTCCAGGAAAGCGTTATTCGTTCTTGCACCAATTAATCACATTCAGTGAGTCCCCCTCTACAATCACACCTTCCACAATATTTCTGGTCACTAAAAGTTTCAAACCATGAAGAATCACAAAGAGCTCAGCATGATTTGCTGAAGAAACTCCACATGGACCTGCATAAGCGAGTAAAACATTTCCTTACCAGTCGCGGATGGCTCCTCTGTATCCCGCAAGGTTTGGGTTGCCTAACGAACTTCCATCAAAGTTCAGCTTTATCATTCTCTAATCTGGTGGCTTCCATCTGGTGCAAGGTCTAGACTTAGGCACATCCACAAAGAATAGGTTGGAAAGGTTAATCATAACATCGTCTTTGATAAACCCCTTTAGATAACCACGACCAAAGGGAGATTTTGATGGTGTTTAGATCATTGTCAAAGTTATTGCCTTTTCTTTCAAAAGTTCTACGATTTCTCTCAAGCCACACTTCCCATAAAATAGCACCTCGAAGAATCTTCTAGATTGATTCCCCAACTTTCGATAAAGGTACCTCGAATTGGGTTATCAAGTCCAGTAACTCTTCACCCTCGGACTCGGCCTTGGTAAAGAGGCGATAGATGAGTTCTAATGGATTTGGCCGAGTAGAGTGCATGACCCAAAAGGTCCTAAAAATAAAAATAAAAATAAAAATAAAAAGATTGTGTAAAATAAAGTAAAAACTATGAAATTCAAATAAAAAAGGAAACGACATCAAGTCCAAAAAAATTTAAAAATTGATTTGTAATTTTACAAAAATTCTAAAAAGATGATAATATAGAAATACACCATATGACAAGAAAAACTCACAACTCAGTGCAAAAAAACCGAATTACATCTATGATTTTTAAGCATTGATTCTAAATTTTTATCTAGTTTTATATTTTTTTTTTTTAAAATGACCCAAGTTACACCCCATAGCTCGGCTTGGTTAGTAAAACGTTTTGGACACGTTTGGTATGGAAAACTTTTGTATAAGGTGATACTGAATGAGTAAGGTGCCCTTAAGAAATTCACTAAGTTGTTCTTTTTCTAGAAAAGCTTCAAATCGATCATCTCAATCTCAATATTTATAGATATGAAAAAAAGAGGATTTTTAGTCTTCAAAATAGTTAATCTTCTAATACATTATCTACACTGTCCATTTTAAATATTTTCAAAATTTTATAGATCTACTTGATCTTCACCATTTATGGAACTTTAAATTTCATAATTGGAGGCAACAATGGATTATTATATCATCACAAGGGTCACCAAAAATGTATTTTCAGCGTAGTTTTGAGGTGCCCCTTCACTCAATAGTATAAGGTTCACACCTTACACAAACCTCACCCATGTGGTACATGTAAAAATACTTCTGTATGTTCACCTAAAAAAAACCCTCTAATTTGGTATAAGAGTTTTTTCATGTCAAATCACTTTGAATTGATGTGAAAAAAATGCATGGGGCCAAAAAAAAGAAAAAGAAAAAGAACTCCCATACCCAAGTTTTTGTGTACTTGAAAAGTATTTTCACGCTTATCAAACAAGCCTTTTGCTTGTGTTCTCTCTTAAGGTACATTTTTTTTTTTTGAAATTTATCTTCTAGAAAGTTAAATATTTTTAAATCTTTTGAAAAGTTGAATATTTTGTTTTCGAATGTTTAAATAAGTTCTAGGTACTGTGATAACGTGCTGAATTGTTAAGAAAGTTATAAGTACTGTGTTTAATAACATATACATATTAACCATATAAATATAAATATAAATATATAACATAATATAATATATTTTATTAATGTATATTTGTATTATATATAACATATAATATTTATTATAATATAAGATAAGATATTTATATATTATAGATAAGATGTATTTAATATAATAAATATATTATTTACAACGTAATATTATAT